TTGCCGGGATTTAGCTGTTAATTGTGTAATTCCCTTGCCGGGACATTTCTTATTATTTGTTTCTCCCCTCGCCCCGTTTGGTTGTGATTACTGTTTGGGTGAGGAAGAGTGATAATGCACGAAGGGTCCTTCCGTGCCATGTTTTGATTATATTTGCACGAAGGGTCATTCCGTGCCATGTTTTGATTATATTTGCACGAAGGGTCATTCCGTGCCATGTTTTGATTATATTTGCACGAAGGATCATTCCGTGCCATGTTTTGATTATTTATGCACGAAGGGACATTCCGTGCCCTGTTTTGATTATATTTGCACGAAGGGTCATTCCATGCCATGATTTGAGAGTATGAGAGGGAAAGCACGAAGGTTGATGTCGTGCACTTTACTTGATTACTTTTGGTGAGAATGAGAGTAAAAGCACGAAGGTTGATGCCGTGCAACTATTGATTTTCCTGCTCTCATTAATTATTGTTATTGCCCTGTTTATTACTTAAATTGTTGACTTTATATCCGGACTGTACTCCCCCATAGTATGCTTCCCTCCCTCTTAACTGTTTAATTTCTGTATTCTTCCCTTTTATTGCATATATATATATATATTGAACTGCACAGGTTGGTTTGGTAGTCCTGTCTAGCCTCGTCACTACTTCGCCGGGGTTAGGCCAGGCACTTACCAGCACATGGGGTCTGTTGTGCTGATGCTACACTTCTGTGCTCTTTTGCACAGATCACGGTACCGGAGCAGCTTTTGGACCACAGCAGTAGGATATTGATCGGGAGCTGACTTCAGTCCAGGGACTTACGAGGTAGCCTAGCTGGCGTTCGCAGGCCGGAGTCCCTTTCCATGTTTTCAGTTTGTTTTCATTGTACCGAGACAGACATTTATGCATTTTCTATTCAGACTTGTTTGTAGCACTCTTTAGTAGTTCGTGAGATAGCGACACCAGTCTTGGGTAGAGAAATGTTAAACTTCCGCATTTTTGGGTTTTCAGTTATCTATATTTTAAAGACTTCTGCTTTTATTTAAATGACCCGTTATATTTATATTGTTATTGTTGAGGTGAAATCAGGGAATGTTTAAAATGTTTGGCTTGTCTAGCTCCGTTAGTAGGCGCCATCACGACTCCCGATGGTGGGAAATTCGGGTCGTGACAGTCGCATTATGCACTCTTCACTTGAGACACAATGTTATCGATGTGGCATTTATTTGGACATCACTAGAAAAATTATATTTTTTATTACAGGAAAAGTTAAAAGGGGGACCAGTGTCTCATGCTGAGGTCTTTGCAGAGACACATAAGAAAAAGAAGAAAGACGATTCAAGAGAAGGATGGGTTGAGACACGTGCATCGGAATAATATGTAAGATCATAACTTTAAGACTATTTTCACTTTGATATTGATTTATTTATATAATCCTTATGATGATAGGCTATAATTACGTATTTTAGTCGATTATTACACTCTAATTTACTGCACTTTAATTGAGTTTGAGCTTCAATCGCTAGTGTTTTGTACTAATGGTGTGTTTTATGCCTTGTAGGAGTGATTCCGAGCTATGTACATGTTATGGAATGAATTCAAGTGAGTTGGAGCTTTAACGTTTGAGTAAAAGTTCAAGGAATTAAGCCGGGATCGTGTTTGGGGGTCAACGGATAATAGTTAGAGCAAACGAGGACTCCAGTAGGCATATTGCGCACTGTCTAGTAAAATAGATATAACTTTTTGCTCAGAACTTCATTTTGGCTGCACAATATATGGTTGGAAATCTAACTCAAAGCGCTACAACTTTCATGTTTTATGTTTTTCCAAATTCGGAACGGAACAGGGTGAGAAATGCGCGAACGCGCGAAGTTAGCGCGAAGTCGCGCGTGTTAGGGAGCTGATGCGCGAAGTCACGCGCGAGCTCGCGCTAGTCACCCAGGAAATGAGAAGGTATAATTGTTTGGGCCCAACCCTACTTGGTATATATACATGAGAGAACATTTTTTAGAGTAATTTTTGACCAAGGAAGAGCACAGAGCCGCCGTGGAGGCTGGGTTTCATCATTTCTTCCACCAACTTAGTCTTTTTATGTTTCTTTGTATGATTTGTTGTTTTGCTACCATGTCTATGTGGAGCTAAACTTCACGTTCTAGGGTTGTGGTTCTTTCATGACTATTGTTATTCGGATATTGATTTTGATTTCTTAGTTTATCATATTGGTTTATTTATCCAATCCTGCGCTTAATTATTTAATTGTTTGATCACCAATTGAATACTATCTACGAATATAGAGTTGAACTCGAAAGTGGGAATTCTAGATTGCATATAGGATTGAGTAGAGCAAGTTCTTGAACCTGGGCCTCGGGGAACGGATTCACGGATAGGATAGACATATACCTAATTGCCTTGCTTGGTTGATTTACAGGAATTATAAATGCGTTCTCGTTGATTCTAATTCCATAGACATATAGGAGTTAGGTTAGCTTGAATAGGCGAGTAAGAACTCGACAGATTCTTATGAGCAATATTAACCCTGTCAACCAATAAACTAGATAAATTAGTTAGTTAATTCAATTGAAGAATACAATAGGAATGTTAGATAGCCCATAACCCTAGATCGTTTTCATTACATTGATATCATAAAAATTTGCTCTTTCTTTCTGTTAAAAGTTCATTATTTGTTTTTATTTATTTTAATTAGTTTAGAATCAAATACTTCTTGGTTTAATTCTTGTATAGATAATTAGGATAGTCTAATTTAGTTAATAGTTGATCATAAGTCCTCGTGGGATCGACATCCGACTTTTAGTCACTTTATTACTTGACGACAGCGTATACTTGCGTGTGCGTTTGGCCGCAACACCTTATTACTTTTATTTCGGGATGGATATCATAGAAGCTTGGATGAATGATGTCAAACGCAGCCTACTTCTGATGATGGTACCCCCAATCCAACCGTCACCCGATGATATGACTTCAATATGGACGGATGTAGCGGGTGGTGTATACAAAGGAAGAGTTTACGGGCTTGGAGTAAAACGGCCTTCCTCTTTTCGTCCATCGCCATTAGTTTTGGATGCTCCTACTGCGCAAATTCAGGATGAAATGGGAGCAATGCAAAAGAAAATTGAGTTGTTGTCGATACAATGTGACACGGCCGAAGCTCACATTGCTAGAATGGATAAATACATGAAAAAACACATGCCCCACTGTTATGATGATGAAGAGACTGATTCCGATGTGCAATAGTGATTTAAGGTTGATTACTGTTCTTGGATGTTTAAATTTTATATTTAGACTTTATGGTAGATTTGAATGATGTGGTATATATATGTTTAGACTTTATTATATTAGTGTCGATATGTATTAGCTAGTCAGACTTGATATTGAATATTTAGACGTTAAGTAATGTTTTGGTTTGATATTATGGGATTTGAATGTTTGTTTGTTGATGTTGGAATTGGTTGGTTTGATTATTAGATTGTTTAGTTGGAATTGGTTGTGTAGTTGAAATTGATTGGTTGAGTTGGTTGTTTAGTTGGAATTGGCTTGTTGAATTGGTTGTTTGTAATATTTGCCTTTGAGAGGTGATGTGCTAATAAAATGTCAGCATTCTGTCAAATTTCAACCCAGTTTTCCGACTACTATAGTTGAAAAGTGTGCCCAACATAATAATTTTCCGACTACAATAGTCGGAGAATGAGGCCAGAATAATGCAGATTCCGACTACTGTAGTCGGAAAATACAATAAAATAACTAATAAATAATTAATACTTGTATAATATCCCACTACAATAGTCGTAAATATTTTTTAAAATAAATAATAGTTCTTATAATTTTTCGACTACTTCAGTCGGAAAATAGCTGCATTTTCTAATTTTTGGCGAAAAATATTTTCCGACTACAGTAGTCGAAAAATATTTTCCGACCTATCTTTTTCTGACTACTCTAAATCAGTCGGAAAGTAGTCGGAATAGGTACTTTTTCGACTATTTTGGTAGTCGAAAAATAGCGAATTTCTTGTAGTGAAAGTGAGAGTGCTTGACACAGTTTGAAGATTTAGTGAAAACAGTATAGAGATGACTCTCAGAGTGAAAAGATTTTCTGAAATAGAAACTAGTTTGGTAGTGAAAAACAATTTGAGAAGAGTACCAAAATATTTTTTTTTTTTGAAAAAAAACAGCAAACAATCAATTGGTCATAAAATATCCAGATTCAGAAACACTCAACAAATAGATCTCACACAGGGGTAAAGGGATTGGGGACACATAAGAGTCACATTGAGGGGTACATGGATAGGGTATAGAGGAAACATATAGACAACAACTGCATAAAACACTTAGGGTATTAGAGACTTAGCAGGTTAGTCATGGACAGTAAACAGTTAAGACATAGATCACAGATGTAATATAGAAAGCAGTACATGTCTTGAACAGGATTAAATATACAGGCAGGGTCAATCACTACATCAAATAACCAACATGATCACATAGTTAAGGGATTAAACGGATATTCACAAACAGGCTGGTTAAGTATTAGATAACTAGGTGAAGTGTAGACATGCTAATCATACCTCGAACAGGACAGAATTTAGACATGATAAGCAAAGAAGTAAACAGGAAGATAGGTTGAATTCATAGTCAATGAACTAGTTCAGGAATGAAACACATAGGGTTTGAGTTTCAAAATTTAACTAGAGACATACCAGCCGAAGAAAAGAGTGTAGAATATAAAGCAGGTGTAGTTCCAATATCTAGCCTTGGCTTTCAGCCGGCTAGACCAAGAGTTATCACAAGTAGCAGAGAAAAAGGAGTTTGAGTGTGAATGTGTGCTCTTTTTAACTTGTGTTTGTCCGTTAAGAAGTTAAATAAGAGAGTTTATATAGTAGTTCAAGAGTAGAGAAAATAAGGTAAAGGAATCAATAGTCAGCAATTAAGGATCACAGAATCAATCACACAAAGAGGTTCAGCACAGTCTTCCCCTTAATTAAGGGCAATTAGCCAACGGTAATGACAGGAACTAATTAAGGCAAGAGGTTCAAATCAGGCTAAATAAAGGAGTAAAGAATCAGAGGTCTAATTAAGGAAAGGAGTTCAAATCAAACTGAATAAAGAACTTCAGAATAAAATAATTAGGGGTTTAATTAAGGGAAGAATCATGTAAAAGAATCAGTAAATATACAGCAATCAAATAAGGCAAGAACCACTAATTAGGGTCGCAATCGTAAAAACGGGCAAGACTTAGGAGTACAGATTCTTAACAGAACAAATCAATCAACCAGATTAACAATAATTCTGTAAAGAATATATCGATTCCCACAAATAAAGTAGACTAAGTAAAACTTTATAAACACAGAGAAGTTAACCAGAAAATTGATTCAAAAACCCTAATAGAGATTAGTTAGGGAAAAAATCACAGAGCAATGCATTTGATAAAGGAAAATCGTGTAGGTCAAAGATACAGAGTGAATCAATACAACTGGTAACATTGAAAACTCATAATCGAAGCAAACAATTAGAAAATCAGAGTTTCACACAAATCGACTAGGGTTTAAGCAACCCTTGCGTAAATCAGTCAAGAGCACTAAAGGATAATCGATTAAATATTTAAAAATCAGAAAGACCTAGAGAAAATGACTTATAATAAACCCTAGTTTAGGAAAAAACGGGAAACCAGTAGAAAACGAGAAAACTTTTAAGGAAAACATGTGAAATCTGTTCAATTCATCTCAGATCTGTACAGATCTGAGAAGATCGGAGACCAAAAATTAGGGTTTTTAGAAGGTGCAACAGAGACAATAACATAGGCTTAGAAAACCATGGATTCGTAGCAAAATAAGAAAGGTTTCTTACTCATGGTCGAGCAAACGGCCTGAAACACGCAAAGAAATCGAAGGTGCAAACCAGACCGCCTAGGTCCCTTGAGATCTTCTCAAGGATCTAATAAACTAATGTAGGGGTGTGCATTCGATTTATCGATTTGATTTTGACCCTTATCGATAATTACTTATCGATTATCGATTTGTACATATGCTTATCGTTATCGTTTCAATAAGGTTTCGATTTTTTCGATTTCGATTTATCAATTTTGGGGGCTTATCGATTCGGTTATCGATTACACCAATAAGAAAATTTGCGGGACTCCACGGAAAGTATATCGCTATAAACGCGCCTAACTAATATGGACAAAAAGAAGCTAAAATAAGACGAACACCATTTATAATATAAAAATTGTGTCAACAACCACATGCAACAAAACTAAAGTAAGAGATCAAATGTATGCCACCAACACTCCAACGGTATAAAAAAACAAAACAAAACAAAACACATCATCACGGCTAATTCTGTTTTCCATTAATTTGAACTTCATTCCCTTGATCTTTAAATATGATCATTCCTTAAATGTTGTAGAGGAAATAATAGGGTAAGGGACTTAGGGTAAAGGAAAGGGTATAGATTAGGGAAAATAATATTGTATAGCCGCTTTCAAAATAGTAGCGGAATATATATACATTCTGTATGTTATACTAATCTACACAAATAGGTAATTACTCATTTAACAAGTGTCTGCAGTCTAGGGGTGTGCATTCGATTTATCGA